ACAGTTTCGGTCCACAAACATTAGTGAAACTTATTTTCGAACTATGCCTTCGTATTAATTAAAAAATGTCCGTCATTATTAATGTTCTTCTACAAAAATACTGGGCAAATTATATTTAAACATTATTTTTGTAGTAAAAAATACAGCAATTTCACGACAGCAGTAAACATTTAAATTCAAACAGTATTTTATAGTAGTTTTTAAGTAGTTAACTGTGAATAAGAAGAAAATAAATGCTCTGATACTTACGTAAAAGTTATAAATATTTGGTATTTATGAATTATTTATTTTAAGGAATGTATTGATTGGTATTATTTCTCTTAAATACCAGAATCCATAGAGAATGACTCAAGCGATATTTTTTTAATCAGACATTCAAGATACATATCTAATGGATAATTGCATTAAGTTAATGTTCGTAGTTTTTAAAAATAAGATAGTAATGTTATATAACGAAAATGGTTTAGCAAATACTATTCCTTGTGAGTCCAGTGACAAATCTGATTTGCCCTGTAGAAGTCCTCTGGGAAATATTAATATTGAACGTAATAGTTACACAACTTTTCCGTTTCTTTGACTATTTCATAAATTTATAACTGTATGAAAGAAAATTGTCAGACACTGTTTAAAAATTTAGATTATTCTTTTTTTAAAAATAAAGAATAAATATGAAATTAACGATTAATTTACAGTTCGTAAAAATCTGCATACCCTGTATAATTTTTGATCTAATAATCGGCTCATTTTTACATATTTAGACTCAATCTTGTTAGTTCAAGGGCCTGATCTCAAATATGCTACTTAATAAGTGTAGATGGTACTTTAATTTACGAAATCAGACACAAAAACATGCTTCCTTTAAATAAACATAATAATAACATAAAAGGAGTTCAAACTTTAGACTGCTGAACTTACCAAATTATTGGGTCCATATTTCAAAGATTGCATTTGAACCCCACATTTTAAGGTTCAAGAATCCGTACCTGACAAAAAAAGGTATGCTTATTCGAGAAAAATAAGTTTTTATATCTGATTTCGTAACTTACAATATCGTCTGCATTAATTATTTAGCATGAATGAGATCAGGCCATCTAGCCATTTGATCCACGATACGTGATCACGTTCTTGAATGGCTAAGATAGGTCTGATCTTTACATTTTAATCAAATATCGTGTGTCGCCATTGCAAACTCTTCGTTAATTGAACAGCTGTGACGTGTGTAAAAAGAATAGAAAATCGAATAGAGCAATAAATTTTATTACAAATTGCAAAATGCTTCAAACAATTTATTTTTATTTATTTTTTTATTTGCAAATTTTCACAATTGTCTATGAATAAAAAATATTTAGTTCATCAAAAGTGACAACCCGACTAAGAAGTATAGTAAAATTTTAAAAATCTTGGAATACAACTTAGTCCTTTTTGATCAATCGACTAAATCCTACCACATTCAATCCAAAAACTTGTATAAAAATGTATGGTTAATAGTTTGGATTAGTCCAGTACTTAAATTTACTGGGAGAGGACAGTGGTTCATAAACAGACAAAAATCTTGAAATAGGGCCTTGTCCACTTCGGTCAAGCAAGCAACAAAATTCTTAAACATTAAAATCTATGGTGTATACCAGGGGTGGCCAACCTGTGGCTCTTTGAAGGATTATTTGTTGCTCTCGATAAATGTACCCCAGTTCCCTTTTCCTTTTTTGTGCTATTATATTTTAACAAAATTATTATCGTCCCTTGACGAATCGACAGATATCACAGATCTTCTGCAAATGAAAGTTTTTATACGTTTTGTTTCACCGGACTTCGTTGTTAAGGAAGAATTATTAGATTTAGTAGCACTTCAAGAGTCAACCCGTGCTGTCGATATTAAAAATGCACTAGATTCCATAATGAAAACTTTTTATGTGCTTCTTAATAAACTTGTAAGCATTGCAACTGATGGAGCTCCAGCAATGCTGGGTAAAAAAAAATCGGTGTTATTGGGATTTTAAGAGATGATTCTCAAATTCCACAATTCATACCGATTCACTGCATAATTCACCGAAAACATCTCATTACAAAATATTTAAAATATCCTTATGTTATGAAAACAGTGTTACACATTGTAAATTACATTCGCACCAATGAAAAAAATCATCGACAATCCAAAAATTTCCTTAACGAACTAAAGGACGAAGAACTTCCAAATGACATCAATTCCTTTTGCAGTCTTTTTATTTACCGATCAGTATTAACTAACCAGTATCTCAAAGAATTACTGAGAAGTGCTGTCATCAATTATTCACCAAATTTTATAGAATTATCAAGAGCAGTAAAATAAATGTGTTTAATTTTTAACATTTAAATTCAATACGAATATATTGTACTTTTATATGTTTTCAATAAATATAATTTCTGTGAAAAAACTTTTTTTCATACCTTTTTGCGTAAATACGTATTTAATTGCGGCTCGAGAAAATTTTCAAATTTTGAAAAATGGCTCTACTATCAAGGAGCTTGGCCACCTCTGGTGTATACTTTGGCTCGATAATTAAATTTACTGAAAGAAGACAACGGTTCTGAAACAGACTAAAATGCGTGAACGAACATCTAATGAATTCTCTTTCTATTTTTTGTTCTTGCATTTTTATTTTATTGTATAAATATGTTTGCTTATAAAATATTTTGTAATCCGTTAAAGTGCCAAAGAATTGTTTCGTTTCTCTAATTACTTAGGTAATCTGGAAAATATCCTTTCGTCACACTGCATCTAAGAATGTAGAGAAATTTTTTAAAAACAATAATCGATGAGTTGAGTGATTATAAAGAGTTCTATATAAAAACTGTGTAGAAATCATTTATTCTACAGATTACCTAGCTAATGTGCAGATTAACAGAGTTAATCCATTAAAGAGCCTAAAAATTGTTCCATTTCTCATATTATCTAGGTAATACTTCATATAATAGGTGCCTATATAGTTTACACAGTTTACAATCACTCGTTAAAGTCATAATAAAGTTTTGCTGGAACAACAGCGACGTTTCAAACCTTAAATTAACTCGATATTACTTCATTATTTTTCGCTATCTAAAATATCAAGCTACTACTGCAGTCAAACAATCAGCTCATTAATCGACAGAAACAATCATCAATCTTTTCAAAAATAAAATACAATAAATCAGGCTGTTTAAAATATTATTATAAATTAAGAATTCAATATCTAGATATTCATAGAATCGTGTTAATAACTACAATTGAATAATCAATAAATTGATTGACAGATTGAAACATATTTGTGAGCTTCGACGATACGGAAATCGAACTTACAAAGGAAACTAGGGAAGTGTGACTCGCCAATTTTGAAATAAACTAGTGGGATGCTTGCCTTATGAGGAATAATTTTAGGGGACAACATTCGTTTCGGCCCATAGAAGATCCTGTGAGAGATAAAAAATAATTCAATATATAGAAAAATCGGTATTTTATTACTTCAATGCAGACTATTAGTTATTGTAATTGTCTCATACTCCAATTAATTTGTAATTAATTGGATAATTAATTTGCAAATTAATAAGTAATTTATCAAATTAAGTAATTAATTATTAATTAATTAATTGATTTGCAATTACATACTCCAATTAATTTGGAAAATTTTTTGAAAAAAAAATTTTAAAAAATTATATGTCAATTTTTTTTTTTTTTAAATTAACCTAACAGGTTTTTCAGAAAAACTACAGATATATAAAATTTTCGAAATCAATTTTGGCAATAAATATGCATTATATGGTACGTGAAAGTATCACAAAATTAATTAGAGTATGAGATAATTACAATAACTAATAGTCTGCATTGAAGTAATAAAATACCGATTTTTCTACATAATGAATTATTTTTTATCTGTCACAGGACCTTCTATGGGCCGAAACGAATGTTGAACCCTAAAATTATTCCTCATAAGTACTTACATCCCACTAGTTTATTTCAAAATTGGAGAGTCACACTTCCCTAGTCTCCCTTGTTAGATAAGCGCACATTACCGAGGTGAATTGTGGGAAGCTCTTAATTCTGTACTTTAAACATAGTTAATTTGCAGAATACCTAAATAACGAGCATATTTGCGAAGAATTATTAATATAAGGTTTAAAGAAATAAAGAAAACATCAAATAACACTTTATGCTATGGATTAGAGGTGCAAGTGAAATGTGATTGTAAAACTATATTTTTTGGAGCATTATTTTGTGTAGATAATAAGTAGTTTTTGTAGGTGTGGATCTGCAAGTATCAGATTGTGTAGATAATAAAAAAATACACGAATATTTATTTTAAAAAAAATTTTTTTTTTGTTTTTAAAAATTAAAAAAAAAATTTAAATGAAAAGTTTAGAAATATTTACGGTTATAGATGACAATAAGTTTTATCAAATAAATTTTACATAAATGCATTCGTATTTGTCAATTCACGCAAACGTACAGTATCGCAGAAATTCATTTCCTGTGAAAAATGTTCTGAATTGCGATTTTCCTTACCTTTGAATGATGTCATATAATATTGAAAATTTCACAACTCAGCTGTTATTTCTTAGAAATCATCTGTGGAATAATAGTAAGAAACAAATATCATTTTTTATATACATATACACACTATACCCACATTAAACATTATTTAGAAAGCTAAAAATCCGAAACGATGCCAGAAGATTTCTTTTCTAGCAATACAATTACGATTTCAGTCTGATAAATGAAGTGACCTTCTTGCTTAATGTTCTCTTTTCTTTTAAATAAATAGTTACATAATATAAAAGTCACATCAAAAACATAATTGAGTTCTATTTTTATGTCCTATAAATTCTGCATCGCTTTATGAAAGTTAATCGAAATTTAATAAGAAACTGATGCCATCGTCACGTGACTTTTACAGTTTTCTTTTAAGGTGGAAATACTTTAGTACAAATTTTATTTTATAACCAGAGTTGTACAGTTGATCCAATTTTAAATTTACGACTATCAATGATCAACTTTGCAGCCTTGTAATTCTGAGCCCAATACAGAAGACAAGGGAACTCTTGGATCAAGCAAACTAGTCTTAATGTAGGATTTTTGAGGGAACTAACTAGAATTTGAAAACATCGCAAAAAACTGATCTCAATTTGAAAATTTGGTCACATAAAAACCATGAAAACTGCCCACCGTTAAGCCGACGGAAAGAGGTTTGTCATCCATGATCTGCTTACCACACCACTGAGGATATTTCACGTCAGCACTGTGGTTGGTGATAGCCGGTAGCAGAAATAGAATCGACCAGCCATCGCTGGCGTTTGAACCTCGGTTACTAGATTGAGAGGTGAGCGCTCTTGTCTCTGATCCATCACGTCTTTGTAGAATGGGTAATCTTTAGATGTATTACGGACACCTTGTCTGGTAAATCCATATTTTTTTTGAGATATGTAAAAGTGCTCCAAGTTTCGTATTCCTTACAAACAGGTGACAAGGGTAAAATATTGTCTAAAACATCGATTATTCCATTTAAAAGAAAAATTTTCAAATTGAAAATTAGAAAAAGACTTTAAAATTCCTTTATTGAATCTTCATTTTGTTTGTCCTTGTTTGTCCCCTTTTTTTGTTTGTCCTTTTCTTCTTTTTGTTCAAACTACTTTTCACCAATAATTTGTTTTTATTAGTCTCAAATATGCTAGCTTGACTTTTTGAATTTAATTGTATTCTGACATCTAGAAAATTTAAGATTTTAAATTTATTTTAAATAATAATATTTAATGAAGTTATTTATATTGCAGACATACTTCCTTGTGAGACTGAAAGATTTCTTTGACAGAGTTTTATCGATTTGAAACGCTGCACTTAGCAAGCTTAGATGGCTAAAGATTTCTACGCTTTCTGCAGGTTGGTACTTAATTCATATTAAAATCAAACAAGCGTTAAAAAATTTTTTTATTGTACTGAATCATTGATTTCACTATGTATGATATCCTCTAATCACCACTCTTAAAATTGTTTTTTTTAAGGATTTTTGCTTATGAAATTAAAAAGTTTCCGTGCTTTAAACAGGAAGGAAAGCTTTAGTTTTAATCTAATATTAAATAAAAGAATTGTCTGGATTTGAAACCGAACAAATATTTTTAAGATTTAAAAATGAATGACTTTTATGACTTATGAAAATTTAAAATTGATAAATGTTTTATGATATATTATTATATATATATTTGCTATGAAGTGTTGAAATAATTTTTCAGATAATTAAAAAAGTGTCTCACAAGTTTTTCATTATAAAAATTAGTGTTTTTTTTTCTTTTTAAATTGACAATTTTGTGCTATAGATATAACTGGAACAGAGCACGATGGAGACATTTAAGAAACGTTGACTTGAAAGTTGATAATAATTGTCACGAACTCACTAAATTGAAAGTTAAAATAGTATATTAAGTTAGCAGGTAAATAGCCTTCTAACGTTAACAGATAAATAGCATAAATTTACAGATAAAGAGCATAAAAAAGTAACAGACAAATAGCCTAATTTGTCGAAGTTGTGATTTTGACCAGAAGAAATTTCCTTTTTCTGTATGTATCTTACTGACAAAAATACTCTATCGTTATCAATGATAACGTTTAATAAAACGTTAATAAAACGTTTTTAAAATGAAATTGAATGTATTTTAGCTCTATTTTATTTGACATAAAAGCTTTTAAACGTTTCTATATGCATGCATTTTATCTTTTTACTGAAATGCATGATATTGATTTAAAGCTTTTGTCAAAAACACAAATTGTTATTAAATCAGCATTATAGATTTTTATGTTTTATGTTCTAGTCATTCGAAATGACGAATATTTGGTGTTAGTATGTTTTATATCTAAAAGCTGTTGTTTTTTTCTGCATTTTGAAAAAAATATTTCTTAGCATAAAAATACTCAATCGCTAACAATGCAAACATATTTCTATGTTTGCATTGCCGTGAAAAAAATAAGCGACAATTTGTGTATCGAAATATAATTATATATTTATGAAAGCTATAAAAATAACCTATTTCAAATAAAATTAAATTATCAAATTTTGCGTTACACGCTAAAGAAAACTACAAAAGTGTTTTTCAGATTACTTTTATCAGTAATATGTATTCCAGCTAAATGTTCACTATCTGAACGAAATTATTTTTAAATAATCAATAATCTTTTCCCCATCCTTGATAGATAGCTTATTATCTTTGTGAATATGTTTTATATCTAAAAGCTGTTGTTTTTTTCTGCATTTTGAAAGAAATATTTCTTAGCATAAAAATACTCAATCGCTAACAATGCAAACATATTTCTACTGTCATAGCACGAAGAACGAAAATCACTAAAATTTGCAAGACAACATTTAAATTGAAAAGAGACGAGACTTTGTAAAACTACGTTGCGTATATCTTTCATGAGTTTGTTTTTGAAATTCAGATGATCTGCAAGGTATGAGTCAAAAGTTTGTTCAGACGGTACTTTTAATACAATAAACACAAGAATGAGTGTGCATACGTAAACACGCAGGTAGCTTTAGAATATTCTGTAGTTTTGTATATTTATTAAGTTATAAAAGAGGAAATAATCTTATATTTATTTCAAAAGACAGATATTCGAGAAAACTCAGTCTAAGATAGCGATTTAGCTCTAATTCTTATAATAAGATTGGGATAAAAGAAAGGCCTTTTATAGGACCTTTTTTTCCTTGTTATTATAAAAAATTACCTAAATATTAAAGTGAAATCGATATTTAAAAAGAAATTCATTTAACTTAAAAACTAAAATTAATTTAACCATTTTTAGTGGGATTTTTAACTTTTGTCTACTATAAAGAATTCGCTATAAACTTGAAATTATGTGCTAAAAAATAATCAAGTTTTTAAATTCTGAGTTAATAACTACGAATAAACTCAAGGAGAAANCTAAAATTAATTTAACCATTTTTGGTGGGATTTTTAACTTTTGCCTACTATAAAGAATTCGCTATAAACTTGAAATTATGTGCTAAAAAATAATCAAGTTTTTAAATTCTGAGTTAATAACTACGAATAAACTCAAGGAGAAACGACCAAATGAACGAACGTATAATGCAAAAGAGAAAATAGTTCCCCAGTGTTAATATCTCTCCCAGTCTTCACACTAACCTTTAGTGTAACTCACATTTATGCAAACAAAGCTCTTCATTGATATTTTATATTTTTTGTTGTTCTTTGTGTAATTATCAGCAGGCCGATTCACAAATCATTGGAAGAAAAATATGTTCTCATCCACATTTAAAAATTATGAAATGGCTGGTGAATATACTTCTCACGGCAAAATTTAAAAAAATATTCTAACTTTAAACAAAACAGAAATATATTGAAACATTATTTTATGCCTGAAAGAATTTGAGAGTACAAAATAGTCTAGCATTTTGTCCGAACTAATACTAACTTTCTTATTAATCAGTGTTTTTTACTACTTATTTAATTAGCTTGTTCTCATTTCTGTCGGAATGAAATCGCGCAATTGAAATTCAAGCTTGCTAGAGTGTTTATATTTCTACTAGTGTTTTGTACGTGATGAAAAGGCACGCTTTAATCGTTTCCTGATAGAATTTATATCTCCATTTTATGTCCAAAAAGAATATGTATCATCAGTCAAAATTTCCGTTAAATGTCAGTCCGTCTGGTATTGGATACCGACAATCGAAGTCACGTGTGGGTTATCAAATCCCGCGTGACGTCGTTTGCTGGTATCTAATTAAATTTGATTCGAAAATTGATTCAGAATGATAATAAACCCAAGCCTTACAGCTGTAACATTTACTCGCCATGCTTAACCACGTGATTAGACGCGGCCTTGTGATTCGTTACAACTACCGAATGGACAACTATTCAGATTTTTATTTTGTGATGTAGATAAGTAACTGTTATCCTTTAATAAAGCCAAAGCGTAATGCGTCCTCATAAAAAGGCCTTATCTTTGATCTGAATATAAACAAAATCCAGTTCTGTAGTGTGCTAAGAGTTTTTCTCTTTCTTAAACATGCGCCCTAGAATCGTAGAACCTCTTTTTGCTTCGGGGATCATCTTGCTTCAAAAATCACCTTACTTATGAAGCAAATATAAACATACTGTGGCGTTGCGGTCTGAAATGCAAAGTCCGAACTACGAATCTCTGACGTTGGACTACGTCGCTTGCAGCCGATAATTGACGTAAACCTCATACCTGAATGGAGATATGCGTGAAGGGCGAAATCAGCAAAATGCGCACAGTATGTTTTGGATATAACTTGGCCGCATCCTCACAGATTGCTCTCTCTCTCTCTCCCCGTCGGTTCTAGCTAGCAATCCGGCATGTTCTCGCCGGTTACCTTTTCGCAGTTTATTTCTATGCTGCTTCCATGTTAAAGTGGTTAAGTTTTATATATGTTAAAATGTTTTAGTTAAATTTACAAGTTTCCTAAATGTTAATAAAGATAGTTATTTATTTAAACTTAGTGTTATTTATGAAGAAATCCGTTCTCGGGGACATTTTCATGTGGAAGGCTTTTTCTACAGTTAGATTTCTTTTTAGAGTATAAGTGGGGACTCTAACAAAGATACCAAACAACCCACAATACATTCGTAAATAGTTAATGAGAATTCACTTTTAGATTTTGTATTACCACTAAAGCAGGAATGGTAAAAGAGAGTGACATGCCGGGATTCGAATCTTGGTCTCTGGGCTATACCATACCAGTGAAGATTTATCTACTTGACTGCATGAGATAAACTAACAAAGTTTATTTTGCTAAAAAAGTTATTTTCGTTCACATAGCATTTACCACTGTTTACAAAAAGATAGGTTTCTGAAAAATACAAGTTCTATTTAAAGCTAAATGTGCAATTTTTCATTTATTTGAGCATGACGTTAACTAATAAAAACTGTTTCTGACTGCTAACATTTTCGTTTGACTAGTTCCTAATCTAATATCAATTATTATTATTTTTTTTTCCGAATTGTTCCATGAGACTAAAAACGTCTGGCAACTGTTTTCTCTTTGAGTTTATAGGATTTTCTTTTTATTGAGAAAGGTTTAATGTGAGGAAAATAATTGAAGTGAATTTCTGTTTTAATGCCTAGTTGATTCTAGTAAGTTAGAAATACAGACAATACCGAGACAGACAAGTTGCCTAAGGAAAATGGAAAATAAAATTGTGAAGCAAAACTAGAAAAAAACGCGCTAAATGAGAGTGAAATATAAGAATAATTAAAGTTGAATAAACCAAACAAGAAAAACTACTTTTTGCATAGGCAAACTAGAAGCAAATCAGAGCGAAATTCTTTCCCAAGCGCAATTGGAGAAGTTGTGAAGAACATATTTAGCTTCAGTTTTTTTTTTTTTTTTTTTTTTTTCATTTTTAAATATTTTTTCTGTTTCACGCTCGTCTACCGTGGTTAATTTAGTTATGTTTCTCACCTTTATTTTCTATCTTTCGTTGGCAAGTTTGCGTTTTATGTTTCGAATACTTTTTTCTTCCTCATTTACATCAGGCAAGTTTTAAGAATGGCACTTTGACTTTTATTACCATATTATAATTTTTGAAGCCAATGAAGTTTTTTATCAAGAATTAATATTTATTACATCTACAGTAAATCGATTGATTTTTAAGCATAATTTTCTTTTATAAATGTTTTTAGATATTGTATAAGTACGTGTCATATAACTTTAAAGAATGAACAGTATTTGTCTAAAAGAGAATCGTTCGATTTAAATAAGGTATCTGTAAAGAACTTATTTAAATCTTTTTACTTTTCCTCCTCTAAATTCCTTTAATTCTTTTAAAAGAATGAGCTCCGAAACTAAGTTTCACCCTTAAGCAACTGGTGTTTTTGCCACAGAAAACTAATACCGAACACAAAAGGATTCAATTATATTAGCTTTAAAGCGAAGAACAAAGAAATGGTTGGATGAACCGCCAATACCCTCTTACAAATTAATGAATTCTGCTAATTCGATCTTCAGTCCTCGACACCTTTAATTATCAAAGGGACATCTTTGAAGGCGGAACTTGTTAAAAGGACGAACACATGGCTTTGACTTCATTGAATCGAACTTATAGAGAATCATGTTATTCGGATTACTTTATTATTGGTATTAAATGTGTGCAAACTCAAGCTAAATCTGATAGTTAAAGAATTATAAATAGTCAATTATATTATTTTCTTTTATTTGCTATATAATTATATATTATGTTTTGAAAAATTGAAACACACGAGTGGCGATGTTTGTAAGCCAAACACCACAGTGAAATATTTTAAAAATACTGACTTAGTTTTTTTTAATAACTATTTAAAGAATATGATTACTTGGAACATTGCCTTAGCAAAAAATGTATGCTAAAATTCGTCTAAATTCGAGCATACTGTTTTGAATTGATGCGTGTATGAATGCGTTTGCAAAATTTGAATAATCGCTTTTCAAAGCGGCGTTTCTTATATTCAAAACCCTAGAATCTTTTTAAATTGTTATCCGATTTTTTGGGAATTTTTGGCAGCATTTGGGATGCTTCCAATTACGTTTACACACTGTTGGAAATTTTTAGCAGCATCTAACCTATTGCGTTTGGGATATTTTCAATTACATACACTGTTAGAAATTGTGAAGCTTGTTAAACTATTATATTGCTGAAAATTGGGGCAATCTTAATGCGGTATCCACTTCAAACTCAATTATCACTCAAATTAATATTTTTAAACTATCTTTATTATGTTGCTTGATTCAAAACTTCTTTCGCTTCAAAAATATAGAAATTTGATACACAAAAATACATAAATGGATTCACATACAATACCCCTCTCGGCTACTGTGGTTTTTCTATTTTTGGCATCTCACCTTTATTTTCCCATTTTTCGTTTAGTTATTTATTTCGTTTATTTTTCGTATATTTCAAATCACTTTTGTTTCATCGCATTCTCGTGGGGGGGAGGCTATCGTGAAAATGGGGGGGGGGCTATTTTTGAGCGGTTATTTATATTTGTGCTTGTTATACGCTTGTAGTGATAATAGATTTGTATATTTTTGAAGAGAATGAAATTTTTAAGAAGTCATATCTTTCCGCTTTAGTGTTTTGGGATTAATTATTTAATGTCTATATTATGGTCGAAATTCAACCAAAATATAGTTCAATTTAATATTTTATTAAAACTGCAGCAAATTTGCTAAATATTATAGTTCATCGTTGAAACATTTAAAAAAATTTAATTCATCTGAAGAAATCTTAATTTATCTGAACACTTAATTTAAATAAAAATTTGATATTAATATTGATTAATCATGAATTTGAAATCTTTAATGCTTATAAATAAGTATTTCTTAGAATTTTTTTCTTTTATTTATTAAATTTTTTTCTTATAATTGTTTCAGATTAAATGCTGTTTATTCTGATGTAGAGAAAAAGAACTCTTTATGTGGTTCTAAGAACAATTCCTATTTCAAAACATCAGCATGTGACTTTCAAAACGCTCAAGAACCTAAAATCTCTGGCATTACGTGTGTACGAACTAAAACATTAGATACTTCACACAAGAACCCTCATAAATCCTATGAAAAATCTCACCTTGAATCAGAATCAAATCTTTCGAAACCACGAACTAATAAACAGCCACTTGTAAGTAACCAACCTGATTTATCTCCAAGTTCCAATGATCACAAAAATACTCGCAATGAAAAATACCTGGCTAAAGAGAGCTATGGTTTAGACTCTTTTTTAATGGACTCATCTGCACAAAAACTTTCAGAAAAATCTTTACCTGCCCAACTCTGTGAATCGCACACTCTTGATTCTGTGACCCAAGCAGATAACTTAAATGCTAAAAGTAATTCTGTGCCAATTGTAGAAAAAAATGAATCTATTGGTGTTCCATCTTCGGAAGTATGTGCGCAAGACTGTTATTTTCAATATGACGATGTGGCTGTTAGTTCCATACCACCGGAAAACGCAACTACGTGCTCTTTAAATTCGTCGCCAAAAGTGTCTTCAGAAATCCAATCCTGCCTTGATACAAGCCCTGTTCCCGAAGAGTGCTCACAAAATGAAACAGTTTTACAATGTTCTGAAACTAAGCCCGCTTGGGAACCACCCTTCTGCTCAAAAGGTGCTCGAAGTGTCTCCTTTGATCAGTCTTTATCAGCCAATAAAGAATCTATAAACTTTTCTGACCAAATGTCTTATCTGACCGTGGACAGCATGAGGAAAGGTTCTTTGCCAGCAGCTGCGTCAGAACCCGAAGTGTTTGCAAGTCCTTCTGAAATGTGGTGTCCCAGTGGTCCGCTGAGGACATTTGCTAGATGTGGTCGGAACTCCGTGCCTCGAGTAACTTACAGTAACTCTAGAGATTCGCACACATTGTCATCCAATGGTGAAGGTCGTCCAATTTATCCTTCCCTACCATATTCACCCTATTGCTCACCGAATTCATCACCGAGACTTCCTCGCCATCAACCGAAAGAGTGTCGAAAAGTTTATTGGGAATCTCATCCTAATTATGAACAGCTCAATCATTATCGATTAAAAGGAGAAATCGGACAGGTAAGAAGTTTTCTTTTGTACTGTTTAACTAAAAAATAACTTTGAAAATGTTTTTTTAAACATTATTTATTTATGATTAAATATAAAGTGAAATGTCGTGAAAAAATGTTATCACTTATAGAATTTGTGAATTTTTAATTTTAGATTTGTAGAATTTCTGTTACTGTTTTTGAAATTTTGCAAGTTGTATTGTTCCTAAAATTCCCAAGATTTTCAATTTTAAATTTCCTTATTTCTTTTTTACATAAGCCAATTGAAAAATGTTTGAAGCAATAAATGCTAAGCGTTAAAAATCTCATTTAAGGGTAGCCTTATTCTTAACTTAAGAAAGAGAGAATTTTTTTTCTTTATTACGTTTATACAGAAGTTACGACGTTTATACGTTAAGAAGTATACATTTTACGTTACAGAGATAATACGTTTAAGAGGATTTTTGATACACAAATTATTGGAGGATTTATGACCCTCACAGAATAATGTAACAGGCATAAGATATAGATTTTGATATCACAATCGTGTTTTCCAAGAGACATTTTTCAATGATTCGAACCCAGACCTCGAAAAGTTGATCTGATTTCCAGCCTTTGAATATTTTAATAGTTTTAAGACATTATATTTTACTAATAAAAAAATTTAATGAAATTTGAAAAATAATTATTAAAAATTAAAAAATGAATTTTTAAAAATAACTTGAACATGTGATGAAAAAGATATTAAAAAATGCGATAGATTTTAAAATTCGATTGTTTCCGTGGAGTATGTCGTTTAAGTTTTAAGGTGCAAACAACCTCTTATAAAATTTTTTGTTACACAAGGTCGTGTTTCGAATTTCGAAATATAGTTTTAACAATATTTTTTTTAAATAAAGCAAAAATAGTCGAATTAAATGTGATGGCTTCGTTATTCATTTCTTATTAAACGTTTAAAATAACAATAAAATTCTGATAAAATAAATTTGACATTTTAGTACAACAATAGCTTATATATTTTCCTTCCGCATCATCTTTTTTTCTCATTTACCAAACTTCATCATCATTATTGACTGGGCAGCATGGGATGGATCCTGGCTTTCTCAAGGATTCTCTTCTATCTTTTTCTGCTCTCAGCAACGGTTCTCCAGATTTTACTCTTGATTCCTTATCTGCAGAATCGAACCATTGGGTCACATCCTTAGTCCATTCTCAGATGGCTTAGTCATAAAAATCCTTTTTGTTATACATTTTCTTCGGTGACCGCAATAGATGGCTAGCCCATTTCATCCTTTGAATTTGGATGCATTTAGTAATGTATGTTGGTCAATGTTAAAAGCTTTTTACTTCGGTAAAGGGTATATTCCATGATCCGTAAACCTTGAATCGTTTGCTGGTTCGTTTCCGTTTCGTCAATCTGTAGTTGAATTCCACTTGAGATTTTAATACTTTTAGAATGATAATAAAATCAATATATTTTACTATTTCTATAAATTGTAAACATGAAGTTTTTGAATTGAAAACGCATTCAAAAGCTATTTATTGTTAGTTTACTGAAATATTAAGCGAGTAGTAATATTGGACTAAATAAAGGACGAAAAAAAACATTATATGTAAGAAAAAGACTTACATAGTGGAGTAAACTACTTAAACAATCAAAAGAATTGGAAAATAATGGTTAATTTTAAAACTAGGAAAGAAATTTCATTGTATAAGTGCTTTAATGATGATAAAAGCTTTCTAAAAAATTGATTTCTCTATACAGTAAGATATGTCAAAGCATGTTTAACTAGAAATTTAACTTGCATTCTTAAAGAATAATCAAGTGTATTTTTTAAATAATTTACCTTATCTACTTTTTTTTCTATCCTTTATGATGCGGTATTACATCAGAATATTTTCTTGTCTGTCACAGCACTATAAAATTTTCATCATTTTAATATACTTAAAAAACAGTTTTGAGATGAAAATCAGCTCGCAAGTGATTTACTTATTTTTAAAAGCAGCTCAGATTGTGTAGGTACTAACCCTTTGACGCAGAATTCGTATTAAACATATTTTTTGTACTTTTTTTCATTATTTTGAATTAATTTAGATCAAAGTAAACGAAACATATTACGTTTAAAATTTTAAAAATTTATGTTTATGAAATAAAAAATGAAATATCGGTATCTTTTTCTGCGTTAAAAGTAAAATCTTCAAAAAGCTGAGAGCAATAATGTTTCAAATTTGTACTTATTAATATCTAATTAGAAATAATTGTTTATCATTAAAAAGTTTTTACTTTTCAAAACCAATTATTTCTAAATATAAATTAAAACAATTTTCCTACTACTTTTTTTTGTATTTTTTACTTATAGTACAAATATAATTCCGACAATCTAACAGAACCGATAATCCAACAGACGAAGAACTCCTGGATCAAGTGATTGGGAGAAATTTGCCATCGTGGAGGACTTTTTGATGGAACTTACCCGCATCTACATGGAAAAAAAACCGAAAAAAAAACACGGTCAGCCTGACGGCAAGGGGACTCAAATTCATCATCCGTCTACCACTGAGGGTATTTTACGTCAGCACTGTGGTCGGTGCAAGCCGGATGTGGAATTTGCATCGACCAGCCATCGCTGGGGATTCAAACCCGGCTACTGTCCTTGGAAGGCCAAGGCTCTATCCCCTGGGCCATCACTGTTCAAAAATTGATATTTTTTTAATAACCGTCATTGAACAGCCGACCCAATTTTGGGTTTACGACTCATAATGTTCAACTCCGTAGCCCTGTAATTTTGAATCAATCCAGAAGACAAAGAAACTCCCGGATTAGTACCCCCACAGGTATGATTTGTTATGGGAACATGGATGACTTTGTGACTCAACAAATTTAACGTGCATCAGCCACCATTTACTACACGGGGAGTCTTCAGCCGGCGTGGATCGAACACACGATCTCTTGGACATGGGTCCAATGACCTACCAGTCTGACTATCCCAGCCTTAAAAATTTTGACATTTAAAGAAATTTATTAATTTAAGGAAATAGGTTTTTATTCTATTTCATTTGATTTCGTTTTTTATTTGTATTTTAATAGAATTCACGACCGAATAAAAATTTATCGTAGAGAATAAAAATATGCTATGTGAATTTCGATATTAATTTTGTATCCATTTTCATTAACCTGTATTTTGAAGTATGTCTTTTTCTCATATTGCACTTCAATATTTGTATTACTAATGTTTAGTTTGATTAATGCTAATTAAAGGCTAACTTTTAGACATATCAAGCTCTGTCCATTTTTTTTTAAAAGGCATTTTGAGTTTTGTTTAAATTTAAAAGTCTACATATGTTTTAATTTTATGTTAGTAAGATATTAGCTATTAATTAGGATTACCTCTTACTTTTCGAAATCTTATATTATTTAGCAATTTTTGCTCGAAATTTATAATACGCATATACAAATATGTACTGGAAATATACAAATATGTATATGTATGGAACGAATAAATTATTTTCTCAATATGATCTTCAAGACTATGCTTGCCGACAGAACTATGTAATTCAGTTACGAAGCATTGAATTAATTTAAGAAATATGTATTAAATTACGAAGTATTAAAATGTTTCTTAAATATCCATTCTACTTTTCATTTGGAATCATTTTTAGCCATTTACTTTAGGTATTAAAAGACACACAGTAAAAACATATCTGTTAAATTTACGGAAAGATACTATCAGCTGGAATGCCAGTATAAAACCGTTTATTTCATAGAAAAATACTGTTATTTAAAACCAGGCACCTGTTTTTTCAGCAGATAAGTACTGTTAATTTAATAAACAAACTCTGTTATTTTAATCATAAAATCTATATCTACAATAGATGATATAATGGATGAATGGAGTCGAAAGCAGAATTCGTACGACTAGTCGATGCTGGAATTTGAACCTCTGTCAACTCATTGGGAGGCGAGAGCTCTATCCTTTGAGCTACCGCAGCTCAATAGCTTCAACATAGGGAAAAATCTTCATACTGACTGTTTTAAAAAAGTTTAAAATTATAGTTATCCATCTGTAGTAAGATGTGCAAAAACTTATTTTACCAAAAATTACATTTAAAGAAATATAAAAATGAGGTAGAATATCAATTTGACAATGAAAATGAATCACAGTTTTATTTATACGATGTACAAAACCATAAATAATTGCTGAAAAATAAGTGCAAATATAGAAAACAATCTTAAAAGGATTCGTAAAAATGTAAAGTTGTAGTACAGACTCCATGGAAAGAACTAGAATTTGAACTGACAGATTTTATATGTTAGAAATTTTTAATGTCTGACAGTTTTAACGCAATGAAAATCGGAGAATAACTGCTATGCTAACAAAACAGCTTTAAACCGTCAGATATACAGAAAAAGTATGTTAAAAGAACAAAAATTTTTCTCAGTGCGCGGGGATATAGCATAAAAACAGAAAAAAAAATCTTTTTTTTTCTTCTTTAAACCGTTTTTTTTGGCAGAAGAAAACGTTTTTTCTACTGTAGAATTTACAGTTATTTTTATAGTTTAAATGCTTTATGCCATATCAAGTATTACATGACATTCAACATACAATTTTTATGAACAGAAAAGCCTTTTGAAGCTCTTATCGTTTTAATTCATTTCCTATTTTTCGGAACTTAATGTTCCATAAAAGCGTTTCAACCGGAAAAGTTCTGTTTATTTAAAAGGTGTATAAACTGCAATGAAAACGAAATAAGTGGATGAGTGTTATGGGATATTGTTTTTATCTGCGAAACTATTTCGTTTCCTTTGGTAAACAAGAGTATTTCCAGAAACTTTTAAAATATCTCTTTGGGGAATTGTTTATTTTCAATTTACTCCTTTGAAGTTAGAAGTGGTCTCAAAGGATGATTTGTAAGCTTAGAAAATTCTGTTTCAAAGTTTTATTTCACAAAAATATTTTTAAATATCCAAACATGTTTGTTTATTCTAAGCAAAACAGAACTTCAACTACACTCCTAAAAATTCCAGATCAA